TTGAAATTTGGTGCCTTTGTATTCCAAGTTAATTGCACTTCTCTTCACTGTAGTTAATTGTCGGACAAGAAGTTTTAAATCTAGAAATGTTTCGCATCAGAGCGGAAGCCTCGTAACTCGTTAATATTGAACATCTACAGGTGACAGGAAGTTTTTATCCCTAATGTCTTGCATCGCACCCAGTAAACATTTTGCTTCTAAACCAGTATGTTTTCCTTTTGTTTTACTCTCTGAAGTTGTAAAAGTTTAAATTTTTAAAAGCGTAGCGAGCTTTTTATGGCGCCAAATTTGTCAGTCCCCATGCTATTGTGCAGCTAAATTGTAAATATGTTAATTCTGTTAAACACTCGGCTGCTCTTGTTCTTGGATTCATAATTTAAATGTAGGTTTTAATTTGCTGGGGATGGTTCTTTTATCTCTACGTTTGATTGTATAGGATCTTTTGTTATTGCTGACATTTTTTCAAAATAATGAAAGGTAGTATTGTGAAAATACATTTTTCTAAAAGATACACACACTCTCTACTGCGAGGATCGTGCATCATACGTATCTAATACCGCAGTTCAAAATTTATGAACTTCATATATTCATCGTATACACACCGCCGTTTAAGTTTTCTTTGGTCACCCACGAATATTGTCGAGAATAGTACCCTAATTTCTACCAGGGATTATCTCATTACTCAGTTTCAACGCTGATAAAGTTCTCTTGTCCCAGCTGATTTAAGTTTAGTATCCATAGCTTCTTGTTCAAACGCTACTTGAAGGCGAATTGCATTGGTTCGTAATATTCCTCACTCTGTCTTAGGGGACAAAACTGTTGTAGCATAATTTCCTGTTTCATTTCGTTTCGTGTTTGCGACTATTTCTTCGCAGCGCAGCATACGTTAAGCGTGCATTGAAACTCAGGAATTCTAAACACACACAACTGGATTGAAGAAAGAGCTCGAGAAATTTAGAACCTTAAACCTCTTGTGGTATTGGAAATTCTCTTAAATGTATCAAAATGTTCATGATAATTAAAGGAAGTCAACACAGTAAAGCCGAAGTAAACAGAAAGAGCAAAGTCTTTGTCAGGCGTATGGCCTGTGACATTCTGTTTTGTTGTTGTGAAGCGAGCCTTGTTGTTGTGAAGCGAGCCTTCCTGTCTCCAGATACAGATATTATAAACCGGCGCATATTAATGGTTGTGAGACTTAAGAAAAAAGGGAACTGCTGCATACATGGCTGATTTAACTGAGCTTAAAAAGAGTAAAAACATAAGTTTTGCGGTGATCAGATGTAATAATCCATTGATGACAATGTTCAGTGCTTGAACGGAAAATAGATTGCGTACAATCTTTCGCAAGATATGAAGGCTACAGATAGAAGAGAAGTGATTTGAAAAGTGGTATCCCCGATAGTAAAGAATGTATCGCAGGACAGGTGATGAAAAACGTAGATCTTTGTCTAGAGCTGATAGTCAGCTCCGACATATTAAAGATAGAAAGGTAGAGTGAAGGCTTACAACATCAAATCGGCAAACGGCACGTTTATAACAAGAAAGAAACCTTTCTTCCGAAGTGATTTGATACGTGATCAAGTTCAAAGGACAAATCGAAAATGCAGACAGGACTGCTGGGCTGAACAGCATCAAATGAGGGGCTAATGGCTCATGATATTCATGCTTACTGTTTTTGAATTTTGGTTTGTGGTTCTAAAGAGCGCTTTACTTTCTGAAAATACTAAATTACTGGACAGTCAAACACTAAAGAATGTTTTAATATATTGTTAGTATGTAGATTCCCAAATGCAACTTGCAAGTCTCACTTTTACAGTGATCATCTGGAATAGGTAACGTGTGCCACCTTAGCTCGGTTAAAAGTGATATTGATTCAAGAGTCAAAATTTTTAAATTGGTCGCTTTCCATTCTCCTCAGCAACTTTGACAACCTATCGAACATGACGAGCATTCATTTAGGAGAAAGAAGTTGTATTGAACTTACAGTTTAATTTGTTTCACAAGACACGATGGAAGACAGATCTGAAAAACGCACAAAAGGTAGAGTAGTGCGGCAGGTGTCTTCGACATTAAGGAACACAATTTAGCGCCGCCATCTTTAATTCTGGTGAAAGTGAGAGGATAGGGTGTTAGTTAGACATCTCCGTCTGTTTTTGCACAAGTTTTTGTTCCTTCCGATTTTAGGACATTTTTGTCGGATTTCGGACTCCCCCGTCCGATTAGAGACTTCCTTACGTATGCACAAGCTTTATTCCGATAGGGGACACTTCCTTTTTATGTGGAATATGAACGAGTTCCAATTATAGCAAGGAATCCCAGTCCGACACATTTGAAGAACATGAAGGACTTGCCGATCTTCCCACACCATACAACAGACGCTTAACTCAGCCTTAAACCTTAATTCCAGGTTGAAATTTTACGGAGATTAGCCCTTACCGACCGTCTTTGGTTCCTTTTAGTTCGGTTCCATATTTTTCCATTCGTGCTTTTTAATCATCGGGATTTCGGAGAAGGGGAAAAAAATCCGAAAAAAAGACCAATTAATCAGCTAAAGAAATGACACGTGACATGGGTGAGTCAATCTTTGGGGAGTCCAATTTCTTCCTTTTGTTCAGCTTTGTAAACATTTATCCAGATTCAACTGTTCTTTAGGTGCATGATAGGATTTTTTCCCATAAAAACTGAGCAAGGAAATTCACACCACTCGTCGTCGAAAACAAGAGGAATATCTTTTTGTGGTACAGCCATACTGCTTATTCGGAGGAAGGAATCCGATAAGTATTTAACAAGGAAGTAAATCTACGGAAACGTAGTTCTTCTATTCATAAGCGCCCATTTACTTCTATTAAAGTCAAACAAACCCTAATGACTGTTTTAGGGAGGCAAGAAACTGGCGAAACATTAATTAGGAGAAAAATGTCGCTTAGATATGAAACTTTTTGAAAGGAAAATGTCCGCACTTAGGGGCGGCGAACTGCACGAGGTAAAATCAATAATATTATTACTAACATTAAAGGATCCCTTCCAACCACAATACCCTGCGCACCTCTATTATTGTTTTGATGCCTAGTCAAATAGAAAGAACAATAAATTTGGAACGCGATTGAGGAAATTCAAGACCTCAGTGAGGCAAATGTACTCGGATGAACGAGGATTTCTTTCCACTTCACGACTTGTGCAAAACCGGATGGCAGAGAAAATGGCGGATTTCACATATCGCGCGCGCAATGTATTGTGGTTGAAAGGGATCCTTTAATTCCCCAAAGATAGCTGCACCATTAGATGTATGTAAAATGATGGTTGCTAAATTTAACAATCTTATTTAGGTACTCATGGTCAAGCAGAACAATAAAACGTTACAGTTAATATATCGTCAAAGTCTTTTTTTTTTCTAATTGAAATTTAACTCCTTTTGTGCCAAAAATAAAGCACGTATGAAAATGCCGTGTGAACAAATTACCTACCCATCATCCCGTGTACATGATGTTCGGGTTTTATTGCCTTTGATTTGGAATTTACCTGGTTCCGGCTTTTACGTTCACTCATGATCAGTTTATTTTTTTTCCAAGGACAGCTGTCAACTCCTTGTGACCAGAGAAAGCTCAATATTTGCTATGTTCAACAATCTGGAATAAAAAATTTGTGCCTTCAGCGGATAAAGGAAATGGATTAATTGAATGGCGACATCAACCAGGGGGCGAAATTTTCGAAAATTCGACACCAGTTAAGTTAGATAAATTTATAACATCATTATTGTGTGATTTAAGAACAAAATTTTCAAGTTTAAAATAACCTTTCTTGCCAGATCTGCCGTTGTTTTTGTGGTTGATTGTTGGATCAAGAATGAGAATGCCAGAGTCGTTTGTCGACATTCGTGTGACGCCGGAGTCATTTAACTCCTCGTTCTAGAGAAGTTTAGAATCCAAGCTGAACCCCGGTTTATCAGTGTAACTACAGCCGTGGAGGCTAAGATTTTCTCTTTGGAAAGACAAATAAAGCACGAATGATTACCTATGACACTAAGGAACATACTGAGGAAATAGGTTTGGGGCTAGGATTATTACAAATGGTCGTTTTCAATAAATGAAGACAAATACGTATAGAAACTTGAAGTTTACAGTATCTAATTTAAAGCTAGTCTTTCCTGTTCTTTTTTGAAAAATATCAAGTGCTTCCTTTCTTAGTTAAACAATTTAACTGCTGAAAAAAGGTCTCAGAGTCAAGGCGTTGACAGTGATGTCAGTAAAGGTGAAGAGCTTACCACGGGATACTACAGATTAGTTGCATTGTTCCCGCAAGCTGTGTCTGAGATTTATATACGTTACGATTTCTACTGAGGTGATACTAGAAAAAAAAAACACATTTTTGAGAAGAGCATTTATCAAAGAGCCTATAATGAGTTTTGAGGCAGTCTCAGCGATGAAAAACTGATCCACCCAAGAAAAAAACTTATCCTGGGATCTTTTGTAAAAGTAAAAAGTGATAAAACTGTAAATAAGGGGAATATTCTTAGTGCCAATTTGTCTTGCAGTATATTTAGCATCTTGTATGATGAATGAAGATGTTTCTTGGTGATGCACAAAAATGGGTCAGGCAGTAGCTAAAACAGATTATTTCACGGCGAAAGTTAGAAAAAATGATGCCGGTTTTGAATCAAACACACACTTGCGGTACATTCATTTTTCAGGTGAAGGCACAAATTCCAAAAGGAGCGCAATAAATAAAACTTATTATATCCAAATGAGTTCATTGTTGGTCCAGAAACAAATGAAAAGTCGAAATTGAAAAAGAAAAAAACAATCTGCATTCTATTTCTTAGTCTTCGTTCAAGAGGTTTTGGAAATTAACATTACTTGGCAAAACAGGGATGACTATATTTAGCCAGTTTGCTCTGTTTCTTTTGTTTATCATTTCCTCGTTAAATTTTTTAAAATAATGAGAGCGATTTCCTCCGCTGGAATCCTGTACAAGCTTCTTCTAAAACCTCTTTCATTTTTTATTGCAGTTTGATTCATAACAAGTCACTCCGTACATCCACGGAGATTTCATTTATTGAGTTTGTCTAAAAATAGAACGGAGTTGAAATTCGTATTTTACAACATTCACAGGCAAATTGAGAATTCTTCTGCTCTGTTTTAAAAATATATTGATTCCAAGTCATAACCCCTATTTCTGTAGTCACGCATACTAAGAAAAAATCATCAACCACAGGAAATAATTCATAATTGTAAAGAATGTAATGTTACTAAAGCTAAAATTCGTGAGATTGGGTTGTTTACTTTGCAACCTTAACTCGGCCCTGGAGCAATTCTGTGCGCATTCACATTCTGGCATTGAATTAGCGCTTTAAAAGTATCTCGAAATTCAGAATTCATAGATGCATAAATGACAGGATTTAGTGCTGAATTTAGCGTAGCGAAAATCACTCCTCCCGCGTAAATATACGAGTTCACAGCATTTTTCATAGCGATGTCAACAATCATGATCACAAAAAGAGGAGCCCACGAAAATATGAACGCACCAAGAACAAGTGCTACCATTTTAGCAGCCTTCATCTCTTTTATCATGTTGAGTTTTACTTCGGTTTGGTTGCGAAGAACGCTGTTTATGGCTGCTGCAATGCGTACTTCGTGAAGGTAAGCGGTCTGAAATATTTTGAGATACGCTACGAGTACAAAGATGGAAGGAAGAAATCCTACCACACAAACTGTGATGATGTAACCAGCGGCAAGATTTAGTGGAACTTGACAAAAAAGCCCCGAGCCTGGCTCAGGCTCCACAACAGCACGCCACCCCATGAAAGGTATGAATCCAAAAACTGTCGAAAAAATCCATACAAAGACAATGATTGGTACTATAACCCTCTTAGTCATAATTGACTTGTAGCGTAGAGGAACTACCACAGCCAAGAAGCGATCGAAGGTCACTGCGCCGAGATTTGCCACCGAGTTAAACATAAGCATTACAGCTACGGAAATAGTAACATGACAGTAATCCAGGCCGTTTTGTACAGCGGGGCCCACAGTGTTTGAGACCACAATAAGTGGCATTAACACCAGACCTATGATGAGATCACAAACCGCGAGACTTGTGATAAACGCGCTTGTCTTAGTCTGCAGTCTTCTGTTCGAAATAACTGAAGCAATCACCAGAGAATTTCCGGCTACAATTATAGCGGCAAGGATTAAGACCACGGAGCAAAGGAGTATCACATGTAATTCCGCTTTCTTTTCGCCCCATGACTTGTGGTTGTGTTCTGTATCGTTGCCCATAGTATTATCCTGTCTCGGATTTCATAGACTGTTGTTGCAGGCGCTGTACTTTGTGCTGTAAGTTTGGTTTGTTAAAGAACCGCGTGTATTCAAATGAGTGCCACTGTGTTGTAGAAGTGCCTTTAAACGTGATGCGACAGCTGGTCAAATACAGCTCTCTTATCTCCCGAGAGTCTCTCTTACTTTTGCATCTGTTAGGGCGTTGGTTGGAGTTTTCGTAGTCAATTCATCATAATTTCTTGGACTTTTTTTTTAATTCCAATTGACGAAAAATTTCTCTTGTGATATTGGACGGGCGGCAGTTGATAGAATCAGATCAATGGAATTGCCTCTTTCTGTTTTTACAAAGACAAAAAATGACAATTATAGATTATTTGAGAAGTTATCAGTCATCTGTCATCCTTTTTCTTCAAGTTTTTTTGTTCTCTCGTGTGAAACACGTCGCCGCTTCCTTTTGTGATTGACTCAAGTTAATTCAAGTAAGACGGACGAATTATGATCTCGGTGTAAGGTACAATCGAAATAAAACAACTCACAGAGCTATTTTTCAACCGCGAAGAATGACTAAAAAATAAAGTGCATCATAATAAGTGTATGCAAATCGTTAATTGCCGTGTCTTGGCCGCACATTTCTAGTGTCACTTTATGATTGTCTCCTGAGTCGAAAAAATATTGAAATAAAAGTAGTTTGGTCAATGTTTTTCCCGCATTTGCATATTGCCCATTTTGTGTTCGTGTGATCGAAACAAAAACTTATGTAAAACTTTGCTCCCCAGTAATTTAGATTTTTGTTTTGTGTGACATTGTCGAAATGTTGGGATTTCACCTCTGTTTTTATTATCTTGCGCAAGTTTTATCACGACAATACTTTTGTAACGTCGTAAAATTTCTGCTATTGGTTTTGTTGATAACATATCAGGGTTTTTAAATCCCTTATTTATGAGTCAGAACGTATATTTTGTGTAATCTATCAGCCAGTAGAAGGAGCACTTTAAATCAGAGCTTCTCATTGGCTCAAAGGGGGCCCTAACAGTTTATACTTTCTTAGCATTGAAGTATTTTGCATGTGAGTTTCACTGCGTTTTCAACACTTTACAGTACTGGCTAACAACGCATTATGAGATTGTAGATCTGTCCTTGACCTCGAATACTTTAGAAAAACAGCGTTTCACGGTTCTCACGTTTTTAGACGTGAGTTACAAGCACAGATCTTGTATAGAGTGATAAAAAAAGGCTGCTCGTGATATACGGTAATGCAAATCTATAAGTATATATTCTCAACCCATGGGGCATTCGAATCGAGTTTGATGCGCGATTTTTAATGTTTCGAGTCTCGCGGTCTCTTCACCATATTTCTTTTTAAATATAGATCTGGCTCTTTTATTTCTTTGGCTAAAAGGATTCCGGATCAAAGTTCAACTCTTTGCCATAAGACTCGAAATTTAAATTTTCACAAAGTGAATCAAATATTTAACACGCGTAAATGCTTTTTGCTTTTTCGTTTTCATTATCATGGGTTATGCTTGACCCTACAAAAAGAATCATCAATATTTGCGCTAATTGTAATGAAAACCCACGCGCTTTTTACTCACCTCAAGGCCCCCAAAAAACTGTTCGTCCTGAGTTCGTTGACACACCGACACAAACTGCTGCAAAACAAAGTGAAAACTAAGTTTAATAATGTAGGTTTTCGTACATAGTCTATCTCAACTTCATTATGTATCATTTCGCAGTTCTTAATGAGGTGATTTTAATTTCAGTTCAGTGTACCAGCAGTGACACTATCAATTGTTTTTTGTATTCCAACAGTGACAAGCTTAGAATTTGTCAAGGAACAAAGAAATAATTTCAGCGGAAATGAAACTTCTTCTTCCTATTTTGATCCTACCCTCAATGCATCTACCAACCAGGAGTAATAATCATGTAGTTGTTTTAACTGTCATAACTATGCTAGGGCAATCCTTTAATTTTATCAAATACGCGTTCTTTGGCTGACTGTTTTTGTCTGTCATTATTATCATTGATTGCTCGCTTTGCATGGAGAATCTATGCTACCACGCTTGCGTGCATCTGGCATGTGATCGACTTGCAGACGCCAAGCTAAAACAGTTGCCAAGACACGCACACACTAACTGTCCTGGGCAAGCTTACTCTTTTTAGTTCAATTCCGCTGACAGTGCTCTAGATTGATAACTTTGACACAGTTATCCTGAGAGAGATCAATAACAACACGATTTTCGCGCGATCTATGAATTAATCTTGTGGCCTCAAACTGAAACAAGAATGGGAAAGCTTTACGACATCAACTATGAGCCACAGTAAAAAATAAATAAATAAATAAAAATAATTAGAATAAGAATAAAAATGAGGATAAAAATTATCACAGCAGTATTTTTTCGATAGATTACTCAGTCGAGAGTCACTGTATTTTTCATCATCAAGTTGGACACTTTTAGGAGAACGCTTTCTCACGGAATCATTCTTTTATTTCTCTTTCCTGTTTAATAAATACGATTTATGTTCAGTCCCCAGAACACAAAAGTTTGTCATGCGTTATCCAAATTTAAATGAATGAAATTACATTTACCGGACACTGACATATGTATGTTAGCTTAGAGTTTCAATTTCCCCTGATTATTCATTTTATTTACTAAACGAAAAAAATTTCAATAAGGAAACTCGGAAAAGTTCAAAATAAGGCGACCTCTGCAAATGTATGACACGATTTAAGGCATCTTTCTTGAGGCAACATCTTGATCTCATTGGAATTTATAACGTCTGGGATCGTCTGGGATGATAAGTGGTATAACTTTAATGATTGTACCATTGTTTTCGTGACAGTTTCCGGCAGAAAACATTTGAGTTTTGTTGTCACAAATTTAAAAACGCCATACAATAAATGTATTGCCAATATCAGGACAAATGTTTCCAAAGATTATTTTTGACGTAGAGTCTATCACTGAAAATGTTAGGTGACTTACTGAGATGGTTATAAATGTTTAAAGGTGATTAATAATTAGACTAAAAATTAATGCTTTGTATGCATTGTTGTCATGCAAATCACAAAGCAAGTGGTAAAAGGATATATTACACTTTCATTATTTGCATTACAAAAACTTTAGCATGAATCCAACAATTTATTTGTTGAAACAGCCGGAATTTTCTCTTAGTGTTTTGAGATAAATGAAGAGCACTTTGCAAATGAAAATTGTAACTGTAATTACGCAAATTTTAGATTTTCCTAGAAAAAATATTAAGATACAATCTCTACAAATGGGAACCTCATGGTTTTTCTAGCCCGTCAAAAACTGATGGCGACATGCATGTGACCGTCATGATCGAGAAGAGAGAAACATTTTAAATGGGGAGTAATAAATGGATGGCTGAGTTTTGTGGCTTCTCTTTTAAAATGATAAGATGTAAACATACACAAATTTAGCCGAGGTTTGAAGAAGAATTGTTGAAACGTTAGACTTAATAATAAAAAGGATTTCGTAATGAAGATCTCATTAAGGTTCGCTTCGAGATGAACAAGTTGTTTCCTTTTTCTCATAAAAGATAATTGGAAACTAGATCTTGTTTACTTTTCCCAACGAGTATTTCGTGACAAAGATCACTGAGCTTCCGCGAGAGCTTCTCCCAATTTCCTCTAATTAGGCTCGTTTAAGGCAATGAATGATATCTCAAGAAGCTGCATTGCACTCCGCCCAACGTGATGCTAGCATCCAATAACAATGGCCAGACATACCACGACACGAAACTGAATATAAAAATATCTTTGCAGAGAAAAAGGACGTTCGAGATGTCACATTTTCCTAAACAGCTCTGAGATAAAACAACTAAATATGAAGCTAATCTGTGCATAACTTGGATATATCAACAAAGTTGAAATGGTAAATTGGCCACCGTAACGATTACAAAAGCTGACGTTTCGAGCGTTAGCCCTTCGTCGGAGCGAATAGAGGAATTGTGGGTTGTGTGTGCTTTTAAAGGCAGAAAATGGAGCTACGTTATTGGTGGGAACATGGCAACGAGAAAAACACGAATAAATTAGTGGAATGAAAAGCGTTCGTTGATCCCTGTGGGATTTAGACTGCCGGTTTGAAAGATGAGCTTTTGTTCAAGATTTTTACGGCTTTCCGTGCTACCTAAGTGTAAGGAAGGACCGCAGATTGCCATATGTTTNCCTACAGACTCGCATAATTACTTGTTATATTCGTCTTCGCATCCATCTCACGTTAAGAATTCCATTCCTTTTTCTCAGTTTCTAAGACTTCGTCGTTTATGTAGTGATGACTCTGATTTCCACCACAAATCAGAGTCAATGTGCCAGTTTTTCGATAAACGTGGTTACCCTGTTTCTGTCGTTCAAGCGGGTTACCACCGCGCCCAACTTATTGATCGACATTCAGCACTACAAACGTCGCATAAGGAAGATTCCGACCGCATTCCATTCACTCTCACGTTTCACCCTCACAACCACTCAGTTAAATCCATCATTCTTAAAAACTTTAAATTACTTCAAAACGATCCAGAGACAAGCACTATCTTTTCGCAGCCTCCGCTCATTTCATTCAAACGCGACAAAAACATAGGCAATTTTTTGGTCAGAAGTTCTTTTCAGACTAATGACCAACCAGGCACTTTTAAATGCGCTCGTGCACGATGCAAAACGTGTCCTTTCATTCACAACACTGATAAAATATCGGGACCTAAACGATCCATTAAGATCACCGATCACTTCACGTGCACCTCCGCCAATGTAATCTATTGCATAACTTGCACTTATTGCAAAAAGATATACATCGGCGAAACAGGCAGAAGACTAGGTGACCGATTCCGAGAACACCTTCGAGACGTGGAAAGGAATGACAAGGACACATCGAAACCAGTCGCTAGACATTTTAATTTACCTAATCATTCTAAGCAACATATGGCAATCTGCGGTCTTTCCTTACACTTAGGTAGCACGGAAAGCCGTAAAACTCTTGAACAAAAGCTCATCTTTCAAACCGGCAGTCTAAATCCCACAGGGATCAACGAACGCTTTTCATTCCACTAATTTATTCGTGTTTTTCTCGTTGCCATGTTCCCACCAATAACGTAGCTCCATTTTCTGCCTTTAAAAGCACACACAACCCACAATTCCTCTATTCGCTCCGACGAAGGGCTAACGCTCGAAACGTCAGCTTTTGTAATCGTTACTGTGGCCAATTTACCATTTCAACTTTGTTGATATATCCAAATTATTTCGTTACTCTCACCGACGCAGCCCCAAACAGTTTCTTTCGAAACTATCAGCCTTTAATCTGTGCATAACCTGTGGGTCTGATTAATTCTTCTTTTACCTCAAACGGTGTGGTCATCTTTCTATATGAATTAAAGTTAAATACAGATCCTTACCTCACAAAAGTTCTTGCCTTTGCACGTTGCGTGCGGGTTTTGCTAAATGGCTGCCTTTTGTGATTTAGATGGATTCCCACAGCCTTATAGTATTGACTTATGCAAAGCATTCTTGCAATAAACGGAATATAATCTGTAGTATGCCACCTAGGGTTGATACCACGCAATTAAGGGAATATTTTACGTCGCGAAATGATATTCACTTGTCATTGAAATATATATTTATTTCTGAAAAAATATCATTGCTTCATATGATTGGCTAGTTTATGTTGGAAAACTGTCCTTAGTCTAAGAATGGCTAAGCCAAAAAAATGATAAGACTATTTGTTTGCTTTTTTTTGGTCTGTCTAGCGTGTGAAACTGTCTTTGAAATTTGAAACTGACTCGCAAATTATATTGCCATACTTCTGACGAGTTCAGCGATGAATTCTAAGACTGAATCATACTGTGGCACGAGTATTTCTGCCGCAAACTTATGAAGCATTAATTAGCATTATTTCAGTATTTTATAAACAAGCGTGAAAGTAATGGCGCCAGTGTCATCCTGAGCTCAGAGTTGCAGGAATAATTCTATATTCTAATGGTATTATTGAAAAAAGCGCTTAATTTTTCCGAAAACGAATATTCTTACCGAGAACTGAAGGAGAATCTACTTTCTTAGAAAAGAAAACTATTCGTTCGTCTCCTGATAAGATTCCATTGCAAATTTTCTTCAACAAATACGTATGACGTCACACCTCAGCTAGCTTTTACGCCATATCTATTTTCAAGTCAACACAATTTTACGGAGAAATTCTTTTGTAGTCGACTTTTTGCGAAGCCAAGAAAAAAAAAATTGCGAAAAATTTAGGAAATTGTTACGTCTGATCTCATTGGTCACAATTCCATAAATTTTTATGAGGAGCTCTCAGATTTAAAAATATCCAGAATGGCGGCCTTTTTAACTGTCATCTTGGATCAGGTATTTTTCTCCTAACAACACAGTAGCTTATAGTGTGGGCCAGTGGTGATCCATTAAAGTCGAAAAGCCTTAAAAATGTTTAAACGTAGCAGAGATACAACGAAAAAAGTATATATATATTTATCAAAATTACATTTGATATATATATAGGAAAAATATTGTAGTACACGAGAACGGACAACTTCGAGCTAAGAAAGACGTATACTCAAATAAAAAGTCTAAGAAAGTTTAATGAAAAACGTTTCGGTCCGAGACCTTCATCAGTTCTATCATATTTCATCAGTTCTAAATATTATAGTACACGAGGACGGACAACTTCGAGCTAAGAAAGACATATACTCAAATAAAAAGTCTAAGAAAGTTTAATAAAAAACGTTTCGGTCCGAGACCTTCATCAGTTCTCATATTTCCACTATATATATATATATATATATAGGAAGTCTGCAAGTCGATTTTCGCGTGGAACAGTGCTCAATACGTTGAAGCAGAGCAGAATAAATATTATGAGAGGAAAAAAGGACGTAACTACATTTCCCGACAAGCCTGTTTCGTGAATCGCTTCACTCTTCAGGGGTTTAATGAAAGAATATTCATGTGACTATCGTTTATATACTAGGAAGATTTGCATAATGCGCGGTAAACTTAAAAACTTTAAAGTTCAGTTGTTGCGTAGCAACGCTTTGTTTCTGTGTCGGCATGAAGATACGAGTTCGTTACGCTTATTTAGTGATGAGAGGTCGGGTCGGTAAATTATCAGGAATTTTTCTTTTAGGCAGAGGTTGCATCTTTTATTGGAGCTGTTGTAGGGAGAGTTAGATGATAAGATGCGCCATGAGATAGAATAGTCAATGTTGTCGTTCTTGAGTGTCCAGATGTGTTTGCTAAGTTCGGTAGAGTTTTTGTGCTTGGCGTGGCGGAATGATGCGGTGTGATTTCTGTGTCTTGTTTTGAAGTCGGTTTCTGTGAGTCCGATGTATGTTTCAGAGGTGTTGTGTCTCATATCCAACGCGCGCTCGTGGAATAATTGTTAAATATACATTAGTTGAAGAATCAAAGAGGACGCATCGATTCTCTGTTACTCTGAGTTTCGCGCCAAAGCGCTCGTCAGACAGCTCTGCTAACGCAGCATTGAGCACTTCATGCC